TGTTGTTTTGGTTGTGCTCACAGTGGTTGTAGACATTCCGGTAGATGCAGCAGAAGTTGCTGAAGTGGCTACTGTAGTTGTAGTTGAAGAGGTGGGTGTTGTGGTGGACACAGCTGGAGACGTTGCAGTGGTCAGTGTAGCACTGTTTTGAGCTGAAGTCATACCTGATGTTAGCTGTGTTGGAGAGGTTGATCCTGCAGCAGCAGCAGTGGTAGAAGCAGATACAGTAGTTACAGTATCAGAGACGACTACCACACTCACTGTGTTGGTCTGTCCATTGGTTGAAGGCTCAGCTGACGATGCAGACACATATGAAGCTACAGTGGAAGCAGCTGAGGATGTTGATTGTCCTGGTGATGATGATGCTGTCACAGCAGCAGGGCTGGTAGAAGCCGAAGTTGTTGCAGTGGCACTGTTGGAAGATGCAGCTACAGAACTGGTGACAGTTGCAGTTGTGGCAGAATTCACAGTTGTACCTCCGGTGGTTGCCGGCTGAGCAGTAGCTGTTGTTGAGTCAGCAGAAGTGCTGGTAGACGCTCCAGCTGTTGATGTAGAAGCAGCAACTGTTGTAGAGTCAGAGGCAGCAGCAGAATTTGCTGTTGTATCAGCACTGGCTGTAGATCCTGATGTTGAAGTTTGAACAGATGTTGCTACATTGGCAGTTGAAATGGAAGTTGCAGCAGTTGTAGAAGCAGCTGTTGTTGTGTCAGCAGAAGTGCTGGTAGACGCCTCCACTGTTGATGTTGAAGCAGTGACTATGGTAGAGTCAGAGGCAGCAGCAGCCGATGTAGCAGCTGTACTCTCACTGGCTGTGGAAGCTGTTTGAGCAGCTGTTGTCTGAGCTGAGGTTGTTACAGTGGCAGTGCTGCCAGAAGTAGCAACAACAGTAGAAGCTGCTGTAGTTTGCGTTGTTACAGTAGAGGAAGTGAGGTCATTTGTGGCTGTTGTTGAAGGTTGAACTGTTTCAGTGTTTGCTGCAGGTCCAGTTGTAGCAGGATCTGCTGTGGAAGTAAGTACAGTAGCTGTAGGAGGTGAAGTTGTGTTCTCTGCTGTTGTATCAGTCAGTGTGGATGGACTCGCTGTTGTACTGTCAGCAGTTGTAGGTGTTTCAGTACTTTGGGAAGCTGCTGTTGTCACAGATGTGGCTTCAGTCGATGTCAGCAAAGTGTTACTTGTAGTCTGGGCAGCAGTGCTTGTGATTTGGGTTCCTGGAGCAGAAATGGAAGATTTTCATTATATGACAGTTATTTCATTGTTTTTTTATGTATACAATTTATAATATCTTATACTGCAATTTTCTTTTTTGACTCTTCTTTTTACTTAATTTTGTATATTTCTACTTACCAATTAGGAGAAAAAGCAGCAACATCATTTTCATAACTGTTTCTCTTAGAAATCTGTAAAAGAATATTAAAAATGCCTTTCAAAAATCTGTTTTTGCCTTAAGGGAAAAATACATAATAACAAATTAACACTGTATCTGTCATAAAATGGTAAGTTTTACCACAGTGCTGCTTCTAATGTAGTCCACTCTAGGTAGTTTTAAGCCTTCTTTCTAATATTTATCAGTTTATTTATTCATGGAAGCTACATTAATACTATCATTCCAGTCTTAATACCTGGTTATGCTCTGTTTTTAGTATATTAAATCATTGTTTTATATTCATTAACCTTAATAATATCTTGTTTTAAAAAATCCCTTGTAAATGAAACACGTTGTTGCACTGAGATTCAACATTTTGTCCCTCTTTATTAAAGAAAAAAATCATAAATATTGTCTATTTGTTAGTCATGTAAATTATTTTCAGTTAATGTCAGAAGTTTCACTCACCGAGAAGGTCAATATGAAACTCCAATCAAATGTGATGAGCCTCTCTGACTGTAGTCTGTGATTGTTGGTCTTCAGACAGAAGGTCAGTGTGTGGAGCTCCTGCTGCAGTCAGAGTGGCTGATGTTCCACCTCCTGCTAGATTTTCACTGTCAGGTTCTGAAATGGCCTTCTTATATACATGAGAGCTCTGATTAGAACTCACCTGTTTTTCCTCTCATGGCTCATCACTGCGCAACAAGTGTTGCGCAACTGCTGTGAGACTCTCACTTACGCACAATCTCTCAGGTTCTGGGAGTGACCAGCTCAGAACAAAAGAGCTGTTCCATCACTCACACCAAGAACATCATAACAGCTATTTTTGTTGTCTTGTGTGTCATAAACTTCGTCGGTTTTGTAAACACAGCTCATTTCATATGTTTATTTCTGAACATAGTGAACCTCTGTCTCACTGTATCACTGTGCATGAGCAGCTTTAGTGCAGTCTGGATGAAATTCTTCTTCAGGATTTCTTCACACAAAGAGTCCAGCATCAGTTTGATGTTGTGCTAAAATATCTTTGTCAGAAACAAATTTCTCAGGGCTAATTTCAAAGAGTTTTTAAGTATTTGTATTATTTTTATGAGTATATAACTTATATTAATATAATATATATTAATTAACCTTATACCTTAAAATTAACTAATATATATTCACCTCTTATAATGTTTTAAAAGCAGAAAACTTCATAAATGTGTTTTGTCCCATTTCTTTGAGGTCACATTAAAATGAGCATCACTGATCTGTGGCCTGAATCATGTGTTAAATTAATCACTGTGTGTTGTGATAGAGAGGAGCTCTAAATGTTGACATGATTTTTGACTATTTCTATTGACATTCAACCCATCTTGCTATCTTTTATTTTTTGTTTAGAAATTAAAAAGATACCTCCCTTGATAGTATAATGTCACAAAAGTATGTTTTCATTGCCATATTAAAATATTTATGTTATACACAATAATAGCATTTACAGTGTGGAAATAAATTTTACAAATTATTCACCAAATGATGTTCGTCGATGCTCTATTCAATATTTCCAAAATTCTGTGAACATATTTAAGTTATTAAATGATAAATAAGCTACTGAAAGTGCTTATTTACAGTATTTTGTCAAGTTGGTTGTCTTGATTTCCACTTTTAAAATAGGACAAATTTTGAATTTTCATTCTATTGGAACTTAATTCTGGATGACGTTTAGTTTTTAGGTCCAACTCTCGATTTTGGACACTGAGATCCAGCCAAGCAGGAATTTCAGCGTTTTGGAAGTGGGCGTGTTGGATTACAGTAGGAAATTATGCAGGATCTTTCATGTGAAATGATCTGTCTGTTTAAAAAATACAGAAACACATCTATTTTAATGATTTCAGTTATTTTGTATTGTTTTAATATATCAAAATAATAATAAATATAAATTGTTATCTATACAGCATTTTTCATTTTAGGTACACAATCTCAATGTTCTTTAAACAGGAATATGAGTAAAACAGTATGTGACGCTAAAATATATGACACCAAATCAATTCTTACCAAAAGTGAGTAAACTCAAATAAAACATTGAGATGATGAAAAATTCACATGGATCCATTGAACAAATTTCAATCAAGTAAAGTCAGTGCAGTTTTCTTCACTGTACAGGTTTACAGTAGGCTTGTCTCAGCTGAGTGAAGTGGTGTGGATGGGCTGTGATGCTCCAACAAGGGTGTTATTTTCCAAATCTCCACCATTGAGAGCTTTAAACCTTATAAGCAAAACATTGTAATCAATTCAGAACCAGAAGTCAGTGTAAGCAGAATAAGACTGAATAATATGCTCAAACTTTCTTTTCCTGGTAAACACACACAGTGCTGCATTCTGAATTAGAGTCAGCAGGATGACCAGCCAGTAGCACGTTACAGCAGTCTAATGTAGTAGCTACGAAAGCATGAACTGATTTCTCAGCATCTTGTAGGGATGGCATGTGTCTTATTTTGGATGATTCTCAAGTATTAAATACAGTCTTGGAGTTTTTACTGATATTGGACTGAAATGATAAACTAGCATCCAGTATTACACCAAAGCCTTTAGCTCTAGCTTTTGGCTGCACTAGGAAACCACTAATGTCACGGATCAAATCTGCAACCATATTTCCAGCAGACTTTGGACTCAAAAGTAAACCTTTTGCTTTATTAGAGTTCAGTAGGAGGAAGCTGTTGGTCATCCAGTCATCTATTATGGGTAACTGTGTCACTAAATCTGACTGGGCTGATACATCTAACTGACTATCATGAACAAAAAAGTGAAAGGCACCATTTATTTCCAGGGGCTGCAAATAAAGAGATAAAAGTAAGGGCCCTGAAACAGAGCCCTGTGGGACACCACTGCACTCTTCAACAGTGTTGCAGTCAGTGCATTATTGTATAACCTTGTATAAATATACATATCAGTGTTTAACCTCTTAAAATCCCAGGCTTATTACATCGTAAACCTTATTATTCAGTAACTACAGGAACTTCAGTGCAAACTTGCAGAGCTATGCTTAGGTAAAAGAAGTGTGTAATAAACTTTGGGCCTATCAGCCTCGGCCATTTAAGAGTTTCAATGAAATTTAAGAAAGAAATGAAAATGGACTTTCTGCATGTACTGTAATATCTTAATGATTTTTATTCGTGTTTATAAATGTGCTTAAAAGTGTATAACTCTATGTGCTTGTACATGTTTTAATAATGTACAGGATTATAATTTATTTAAAATGTCCAACAAAAGTTAGAATACTGTTTCAGTTCAAAGACATATTTATTTACACATAAAACCTATTTGGAAGATAAATAAATAAAATATGAAGCTGAGTTTGAGTTACACAGCCAGCTGTGCAAAATCAATAAATAAAATAAATATTCAGATTCAACTTAAATGAAGAGTTAAGTTAATGTTAAACATGTGTACAGTAAACATCATAAATACATACATTTATTACTGTAGGATAAAGTGCTAGAAATAGGTTTACTCATCCAGTGCTATGCATAAGAACTTCAGGGCAAAACTTGCAGAACCAATCAGATCACTACATCAAACAGACTAATGACATCATCATTGCCTGATCCTGATTGTGATAACTTTACTCATGTTCCTGATTTTGGTGTCCGTAACTGCAGCACTAATTGCTCAGTAGATGTGAAACAATAGTGAGACACACAGCCATTAATAGTCCTGATCTGCAGCTCATTTCACTCGAGTTTGCTGGGTTTACATGAGCTACAGTGGATGTGGTACTAGCAGCAGTGGAACGTGTGGTTGTTGAGGTAGCAGCAGTGCTGGTTGTTGTTTTGGCTGTGCTCACAGTGGTTGTAGACATTCCGGTAGATGCAGCAGAAGTTGCTGAAGTGGCTACTGTAGTTGTAGTTGAAGAGGTGGGTGTTGTGGTGGACACAGCTGGAGACGTTGCAGTGGTCAGTGTAGCACTGTTTTGAGCTGAAGTCATACCTGATGTTAGCTGTGTTGGAGAGGTTGATCCTGCAGCAGCAGCAGTGGTAGAAGCAGATACAGTAGTTACAGTATCAGAGACGACTACCACACTCACTGTGTTGGTCTGTCCATTGGTTGAAGGCTCAGCTGACGATGCAGACACATATGAAGCTACAGTGGAAGCAGCTGAGGATGTTGTTTGTCCTGGTGAGGATGATGCTGTCACAGCAGCAGGGCTGGTAGAAGCAGACGTTGTTGCAGTGGCGCTGTTGGAAGATGCAGCTACAGAACTGGTGACAGTTGCAGTTGTGGCAGAATTCACAGTTGTACCTCCGGTGGTTGCCGGCTGAGCAGTAGCTGTTGTTGTGTCAGCAGAAGTGCTGGTAGACGCCCCAGCTGTTGTTGGTGAAGCAGGGATTGCCGTTGAGTCAGAGGTTGCAGCGGCAGATGTGGCAGGATTTGCAGCTGTACTTGCACTGGCTGTAGATTCTGTTTGAGCAGCTGCTGAAGTTTGAACAGAGGTTGCTGCATTGGCAGAGCTGGTGGAGGTAGAAGCAGCTGTTGTTGTGTCAGAGGCAGCAGCAGAATTTGCTGTTGTACCTGCACTGGCTGTAGATGCTGATGTTGAAGTTTGAACAGATGTTGCTACATTGGTAGAGCTGGTGGAGGCAGCTGTTGTTGAGTCAGCAGAAGTTCTGGTAGACACCCCAGCTGTTGATGTAGAAGTAGCGACTGTTGTAGAGTCAGAGGCAGCAGCAGAATTTGCTGTTGTACCAGCACTGGCTGTAGATGCTGATGTTGAAGTTTGAACAGATGTTGCTACATTGGCAGCAGAAGTGGAGGTTGCAGCAGTTGTAGATGCAGCTGTTGTTGTGTCAGTAGAAGTGCTGGTAGATGCCCCAGATGTGGTAGGATTTGCAGCTGTGCTTGCACTGGCTGTAGATTCTGTTTGAGCAGCTGCTGTAGTTTGAACAGAGGTTGCTGCATTGGCAGAGCTGGTGGAGGTAGAAGCAGCTGTTGTAGAGTCAGAGGCAGCAGCAGAATTTGCTGTTATACCTGCACTGGCTGTAGATGCTGATGTTGAAGTTTGAACTGAGGTTGCTACATTGGCAGAGCTGGTGGAGGCAGCTGTTGTTGAGTCAGCAGTGGTGCTAGTAGATGCCGCAGCTGTTGATACAGAAGCAGCGACTGTTGTAGAGTCAGAGGCAGCAGCAGAATTTGCTGTTGTACCTGCACTGGCTGTAGATGCTGAAGTTGAAGTTTGAACAGATGTTGCTACATTGGCAGCAGAAGTGGGGGTTGCAGCAGTTGTAGAAGCAGCTGTTGTTGTGTCAGCAGAAGTGCTGGTAGACGCCTCCACTGTTAATGTAGAAGCAGTGACTGTGGTAGAGTCAGAGGCAGCAGCAGTCGATGTAGCAGCTGTACTCTCACTGGCTGTGGAAGCTGTTTGAGCAGCTGTTGTCTGAGCTGAGGTTGTTACAGTGGCAGTGCTGCCAGAAGTAGCAACAACAGTAGAAGCTGCTGTAGTTTGCGTTGTTACAGTAGAGGAAGTGAGGTCATTTGTGGCTGTTGTTGAAGGTTGAACTGTTTCAGTGTTTGCTGCAGGTCCAGTTGTAGCAGGATCTGCTGTGGAAGTAAGTACAGTAGCTGTAGGAGGTGAAGTTGTGTTCTCTGCTGTTGTATCAGTCAGTGTGGATGGACTCGCTGTTGTACTGTCAGCAGTTGTAGGTGTTTCAGTACTTTGGGAAGCTGCTGTTGTCACAGATGTGGCTTCAGTCGATGTCAACAAAGTGTTACTTGTAGTCTGGGCAGCAGTGCTTGTGATTTGGCATCCTGGAGTAGAAATGAAAGATTTTCATTATATGACAGTTATTTCATTATTTTTTGTATATGTAAAATGTCAGATATATGTTTATAACAGCTTAAATTCTGCATTTCTTACTTACCAATTAGGAGAAAAAGTAGCAACATCATTTTCATAACTGCTTCTCTTATAAATCTATAAAAGAAAATGAAAAAATGCCTTTCAGAAATCTGTTTTTGCCTTAAGGGAAAAATACATAATAACAAATTAACACTGTATCTGTCATAAAATGGTAAGTTTTACCACAGTGCTGCTTCTAATGTAGTCCACTCTAGGTAGTTTTAAGCCTTCTTTCTAATATTTATCAGTTTATTTATTCATGGAAGCTACATTAACACTATCATTCCAGTCTTAATACCTGGTTATGCTCTGTTTTTAGTATATTAAATCATTGTTTTATATTCATTAACCTTAATAATATCTTGTTTTAAAAAATCCCTTGTAAATGAAACATGTTGTTGCACTGAGATTCAACATTTTGTCCCTCTTTATTAAAGAAAAAAATCATAAATATTGTCTATTTGTTAGTCATGTAAATTATTTTCAGTTAATGTCAGAAGTTTCACTCACCGAGAAGGTCAATATGAAACTCCAATCAAATGTGATGAGCCTCTCTGACTGTCGTCTGTGATTGTTGGTCTTCAGACAGAAGGTCAGTGTGTGGAGCTCCTGCTGCAGTCAGAGTGGCTGATGTTCCACCTCCTGCTAGATTTTCACTGTCAGGTTCTGAAATGGCCTTCTTATATACATGAGAGCTCTGATTAGAACGCACCTGTTTTTCCTCTCATGGCTCATCACTGCGCTACAAGTGTTGCGCAACTGCTGTGAGACTCTCACTTACGCACAATCTCTCAGGTTCTGGGAGTGACCAGCTCAGAACAAAAGAGCTGTTCCATCACTCACACCAAGAACATCATAACAGCTATTTTTGTTGTCTTGTGTGTCATAAACTTCGTCGGTTTTGTAAACACAGCTCATTTCATATGTTTATTTCTGAACATAGTGAACCTCTGTCTCACTGTATCACTGTGTATGAGCAGCTTTAGTGCAGTCTGGATCAAATTCTTCTTCAGGATTTCTTCACACAAAGAGTCCAGCATCAGTTTGATGTTGTGCTAAAATATCTTTGTCAGAAACAAATTTCTCAGGGCTAATTTCAAAGAGTTTTTAAGTATTTGTATTATTTTTATGAGTATATAACTTATATTAATATAATATATATTAATTAACCTTATACCTTAAGATTAACTAATATATATTCACCTCTTATAATGTTTTAAAAGCAGAAAACTTCATAAATGTGATTTGTCCCATTTCTTTGAGGTCACATTAAAATGAGCATCACTGATCTGTGGCCTGAATCATGTGTTAAATTAATCACTGTGTGTTGTGATAGAGAGGAGCTCTAAATGTTGACATGATTTTTGACTATTTCTATTGACATTCAACCCATTTTGCTATCTTTTATTTTTTGTTTAGAAATTAAAAAGATACCTCCCTTGATAGTATAATGTCACAAAAGTATGTTTTCATTGCCATATTAAAATATTTATGTTATACACAATAATAGCATTTACAGTGTGGAAATAAATTTTACAAATTATTCACCAAATGATGTTCGTCGATGCTCTATTCAATATTTCCAAAATTCTGTGAACATATTTAAGTTATTAAATGATAAATAAGCTACTGAAAGTGCTTATTTACAGTATTTTGTCAAGTTGGTTGTCTTGATTTCCACTTTTAAAATAGGACAAATTTTGAATTTTCATTCTATTGGAACTTAATTCTGGATGACGTTTAGTTTTTAGGTCCAACTCTCGATTTTGGACACTGAGATCCAGCCAAGCAGGAATTTCAGCGTTTTGGAAGTGGGCGTGTTGGATTACAGTAGGAAATTATGCAGGATCTTTCATGTGAAATGATCTGTCTGTTTAAAAAATACAGAAACACATCTATTTTAATGATTTCAGTTATTTTGTATTGTTTTAATATATCAAAATAATAATAAATATAAATTGTTATCTATACAGCATTTTTCATTTTAGGTACACAATCTCAATGTTCTTTAAACAGGAATATGAGTAAAACAGTATGTGACGCTAAAATATATGACACCAAATCAATTCTTACCAAAAGTGAGTAAACTCAAATAAAACTTTGAGATGATGAAAAATATTTTATTCACATGGATCCATTGAACAAATTTCAATCAAGTAAAGTCAGTGCAGTTTTCTTCACTGTACAGGTTTACAGTAGGCTTGTCTCAGCTGAGTGAAGTGGTGTGGATGGGCTGTGATGCTCCAACAAGGGTGTTATTTTCCAAATCTCCACCATTGAGAGCTTTAAACCTTATAAGCAAAACATTGTAATCAATTCAGAACCAGAAGTCAGTGTAAGCAGAATAAGACTGAATAATATGCTCAAACTTTCTTTTCCTGGTAAACACACACAGTGCTGCATTCTGAATTAGAGTCAGCAGGACAACCGGCCAGTAACATGTTACAGCATTCTAATGTAGTAGCTACGAAAGCATGAACTGATTTCTCAGGATCTTGTAGGGATGGCATGTGTCTTATTTTGGATGATTCTCAAGTATTAAATACAGTCTTGGAGTTTTTACTGATATTGGACTGAAATAATAAACTAGCATCCAGTATTACACCAAAGCCTTTAGCTCTAGCTTTTGGCTGCACTGGGAAACCACTAATGTCACGGATCAAATCTGCAACCATATTTCCAGCAGACTTTGGACTCAAAAGTAAACCTTTTGCTTTATTAGAGTTCAGTAGGAGGAAGCTGTTGGTCATCCAGTCATCTATTATGGGTAACTGTGTCACTAAATCTGACTGGGCTGACACATCTAACTGACTATCATGAGCAAAAAAGTGAAAGGCACCATTTATTTACAGGAGCTGCAAATATAGAGATAAAAGTAAGGGCCCTGAAACAGAGCCCTGTGGGACACCACTGCACTCTTCAACAGTGTTGCAGCCAGTGCATTATTGTATAAGCTTGCATAAATATATGTATCAGTGTTTAACCTCTTAAAATCCCAGGCTTATTACATCGTAAATCTTATTGTTCAGTAACTACAGGAACTTCAGTGCAAACTTGCAGAGCTATTCTTAGGTTAAAGAAGTGTGTAATAAACTTTGGGCCTATCAGCCTCGGCCATTTAAGAGTTTCAATGAAATTTAAGAAAGAAATGAAAATGGACTTTCTGCATGTACTGTAATATCTTAATGATTTTTATTCGTGTTTATAAATGTGCTTAAAAGTGTATAACTCTATGTGCTTGTACATGTTTTAATAATGTACAGGATTATAATTTATTTAAAATTTACAACAAAAGTTAGAATACTGTTTCAGTTCAAAGACATATTTGTTTACACATAAAACCTATTTGGAAGATAAATAAATAAAATATGAAGCTGAGTTTGAGTTACACAGCCAGCTGTGCAAAATCAATAAATAAAACAAATATTCAGATTCAACTTAAATGAAGAGTTAAGTGTACTGTAAACATCATAAATACATACATTTATTACTGTAGTATAAAGTGCTAGAAATAGGTTTACTCATCCAGTGCTATGCATAAGAACTTCAGGGCAAAACTTGCAGAACCAATCAGATCACTACATCAAACAGACTAATGACATCATCATTGCCTGATCCTGACTGTGATAACTTTACTCATGTTCCTGATTTTGGTGTCCGTAACTGCAGCACTAATTGCTCAGTAGATGTGAAACAATAGTGAGACACACAGCCATTAATAGTCCTGATCTGCAGCTCATTTCACTCGAGTTTGCTGGGTTTACATGAGCTACAGTGGATGTGGTACTAGCAGCAGTGGAACGTGTGGTTGTTGAGGTAGCAGCAGTGCTGGTTGTTGTTTTGGCTGTGCTCACAGTGGTTGTAGACATTCCGGTAGATGCAGCAGAAGTTGCTGAAGTGGCTACTGTAGTTGTAGTTGAAGAGGTGGGTGTTGTGGTGGACACAGCTGGAGACGTTGCAGTGGTCAGTGTAGCACTGTTTTGAGCTGAAGTCATATTTGGAGTTAGCTGTGTTGGAGAGGTTGATCCTGCAGCAGCAGCAGTGGTAGAAGAAGATACAGTAGTTACAGTATCAGAGACGACTACCACACTCACTGTGTTGGTCTGTCCATTGGTTGAAGGCTCAGCTGACGATGCAGACACATATGAAGCTACAGTGGAAGCAGCTGAGGATGTTGATTGTCCTGGTGAGGATGATGCTGTCACAGCAGCAGGGCTGGTAGAAGCAGACGTTGTTGCAGTGGCGCTGTTGGAAGATGCAGCTACAGAACTGGTGACAGTTGCAGTTGTGGCAGAATTCACAGTTGTACCTCCGGTGGTTGCCGGCTGAGCAGTAGCTGTTGTTGTGTCAGCAGAAGTGCTGGTAGATACCCCAGATGTGGTAGGATTTGCAGCTGTGCTTGCACTGGCTGTAGATTCTGTTTGAGCAGCTGCTGAAGGTTGAACAGAGGTTGCTGCATTGGCAGAGCTGGTGGAGGTAGAAGCAGCTGTTGTTGTGTCAGAGGCAGCAGCAGAATTTGCTGTTGTACCTGCACTGGCTGTAGAAGCTGAAGTTGAAGTTTGAACAGATGTTGCTACATTGGCAGCAGAAGTGGGGGTTGCAGCAGTTGTAGAAGCAGCTGTTGTTGTGTCAGCAGAAGTGCTGGTAGACGCCTCCACTGTTGATGTTGAAGCAGTGACTATGGTAGAGTCAGAGGCAGCAGCAGCCGATGTAGCAGCTGTACTCTCACTGGCTGTGGAAGCTGTTTGAGCAGCTGTTGTCTGAGCTGAGGTTGTTACAGTGGCAGTGCTGCCAGAAGTAGCAACAACAGTAGAAGCTGCTGTAGTTTGCGTTGTTACAGTAGAGGAAGTGAGGTCATTTGTGGCTGTTGTTGAAGGTTGAACTGTTTCAGTGTTTGCTGCAGGTCCAGTTGTAGCAGGATCTGCTGTGGAAGTAAGTACAGCAGCTGTAGGAGGTGAAGTTGTGTTCTCTGCTGTTGTATCAGTCAGTGTGGATGGACTCGCTGTTGTACTGTCAGCAGTTGTAGGTGTTTCAGTACTTTGTGAAGCTGCTGTTGTCACAGATGTGGCTTCAGTCGATGTCAGCAAAGTGTTACTTGTAGTCTGGGCAGCAGTGCTTGTGATTTGGGCTCCTGGAGCAGAAATGGAAGATTTTCATTATATGACAGTTATTTCATTGTTTTTTTATGTATACAATTTATAATATCTTATACTGCAATTTTCTTTTTTGACTCTTCTTTTTACTTAATTTTGTATATTTCTACTTACCAATTAGGAGAAAAAGCAGCAACATCATTTTCATAACTGTTTCTCTTAGAAATCTGTAAAAGAATATTAAAAATGCCTTTCAAAAATCTGTTTTTGCCTTAAGGGAAAAATACATAATAACAAATTAACACTGTATCTGTCATAAAATGGTAAGTTTTACCACAGTGCTGCTTCTAATGTAGTCCACTCTAGGTAGTTTTAAGCCTTCTTTCTAATATTTATCAGTTTATTTATTCATGGAAGCTACATTAACACTATCATTCCAGTCTTAATACCTGGTTATGCTCTGTTTTTAGTATATTAAATCATTGTTTTATATTCATTAACCTTAATAATATCTTGTTTTAAAAAATCCCTTGTAAATGAAACACGTTGTTGCACTGAGATTCAACATTTTGTCCCTCTTTATTAAAGAAAAAAATCATAAATATTGTCTGTTTGTTAGTCATGTAAATTATTTTCAGTTAATGTCAGAAGTTTCACTCACCGAGAAGGTCAATATGAAACTCCAATCAAATGTGATGAGCCTCTCTGACTGTCGTCTGTGATTGTTGGTCTTCAGACAGAAGGTCAGTGTGTGGAGCTCCTGCTGCAGTCAGAGTGGCTGATGTTCCACCTCCTGCTAGATTTTCACTGTCAGGTTCTGAAATGGCCTTCTTATATACATGAGAGCTCTGATTAGAACTCACCTGTTTTTCCTCTCATGGCTCATCACTGCGCTACAAGTGTTGCGCAACTGCTGTGAGACTCTCACTTACGCACAATCTCTCGGGTTCTGGGAGTGACCAGCTCAGAACAAAAGAGCTGTTCCATCACTCACACCAAGAACATCATAACAGCTATTTTTGTTGTCTTGTGTGTCATAAACTTCGTCAGTTTTGTAAACACAGCTCATTTCATATGTTTATTTCTGAACATAGTGAACCTCTGTCTCACTGTATCACTGTGCATGAGCAGCTTTAGTGCAGTCTGGATGAAATTCTTCTTCAGGATTTCTTCACACAAAGAGTCCAGCATCAGTTTGATGTTGTGCTTAAATGTCTTTGTCAGAAACAAATGTTTTCAGGGCTAATTTAAAAGAATTTTTAAGTATTTGTATTATTTTTATGAGTATATAACTTATATTAAAATAATATATATTAATTAACCTTATAATATATATATTCACCTCTTATAATGTTTTAAAAGCAGAAAACTTCATAAATGTGATTTGTCCCATTTCTTTGAGGTCACATTAAAATGAGCATCACTGATCTGTGGCCTGAATCATGTGTTAAATTAATCACTGTGTGTTGTGATAGAGAGGAGCTCTAAATGTTGACATGATTTTTGACTATTTCTATTGACATTCAACCCATCTTTCTATCTTTTATTTTTTGTTTAGAAATTAAAAAGATACCTCCCTTGATATTATAATGTCACAAAAGTATGTTTTCATTGCCATATTAAAATATTTATGTTATACACAATAATAGCATTTACAGTGTGGAAATAAATTTTACAAATTATTCACCAAATGATGTTCATAGGTGCTCTATTCAATATTCCCAGAATTCTGTTAAAATATTTAAGTTATTAAATGTTAAATAAGCTACTGAAAGTGCTTATTTACAGTATTTTGTCAAGTTGGTTGTCTTGATTTCCACTTTTAAAATAGGACAAATTTTGAATTTTCATTCTATTGGAACTTAATTCTGGATGACGTTTAGTTTTCTCAGTCATTTTGGATTCTTCCTAACCCACACACGACTAACATGAACATGTGTTCAGCGATTTCACCCTTTTGAACAGGAATGTTGAGTAAGCATGTTGCTTTGTTTTGACTACCTTGTTGTCAAGCTCACAGACGCCCCGCCTGACACCTGTAAATGTAGCGTTAATGCAGAGTTTAGGTCCAACTCTTGATTTTGGAAACTGAGATCCAGCCAAGCAGGAATTTCAGCATTTTGGAAGTGGGCGTGTTGGATTACGGTAGGAAATAATGCAGGATTTTTCATGTGAAATGATGCAAAATCTGTCTCTTTAAAAAATACAAAAACACATCTATTTTAATGATTTCAGTTATTTTGTATTGTTTTAATATATCAAAATAATAATAAATATAAATTGTTATCTATACAGCATTTTTCATTTTAGGTACACAATCTCAAAGTTCTTTAAACAGGAATATGAGTAAAACAGTATGTGACGTGAAAATATATGACACCAAATCAATTCTTACCAAAAGTGAGTAAACTCAAATAAAACTTTGAGATGATGAAAGATATTTTATTCACATGGATCCATTGAACAAATTTCAATCAAGTAAAGTCAGTGCAGTTTTCTTCACTGTACAGGTTTACAGTAGGCTTGTCTCAGCTGAGTGAAGTGGTGTGGATGGGCTGTGATGCTCCAACAAGTGTGTTATTTTCCAGAGATCCACCATTGAGAGCTTTAAGCATTATAAGCAAGACATTGTAATCAATTCAGAACCAGAAGTCAGTGTAAGCAGAATAAGACTGAATAATATGCTCAAACTTTCTTTTCCTGGTAAACACACACAGTGCTGCATTCTGAATTAGAGACAGCAGGACAACCAGCCAGTAACACGTTACAGCAGTCTAATGTAGTAGCTATGAAAGCATGAACTGATTTCTCAGGATCTTGTAGGGATGGCATGTGTCTTATTTTGGATGATTCTCAAGTATTAAATACAGTCTTGGAGTTTTTACTGATATTGGACTGAAATGATAAACTAGCATCCAGTATTACACCAAAGCCTTTAGCTCTAGCTTTTGGTTGCACTAGGAAACCATTAACATCACGGATCAAATCTGCAACCATATTTCCAGCAGACTTCGGACTCAAAAGTAAACCTTTTGCTTTATTAGAGTTCAGTAGGAGGAAGCTGTTGGTCATCCAGTCATCCATTATGGGTAACTGTGTCACTAAATCTGACTGGGCTGACACATCTAACTGACTATCATGAGCAAAAGAGTGAAAGGCACCATTTATTTACAGGGGCTGCAAATAAAGAGATAAAAGTAAGGGCCCTGAAACAGAGCCCTGTGGGACACCACTGCACTCTTCAACAGTGTTGCAGCCAGTGCATTATTGTATAAGCTTGCATAAATATATGTATCAGTGTTTAACCTCTTAAAATCCCAGGCTTATTACATCGTAAGGCTTACGATTCAGTAACTACAGGAACTTCAGTGCAAACTTGCAGAGCTATTCTTAGGTTAAAGAAGTGTGTAATAAACTTTGTGCCTATCAGCCTCGGCCATTTTAGAGTTTAAATGAAATTTAAGAAAGAAATGAAAATGGACTTTCTGCATGTACTGAAATATCTTGATGATTTTTATTCATGTTTATAAATATGCTTAACAATGTATAACTCTATGTGCTTGTACATGTTTTAATAATGTACAGGATTATAATTTATTTAAAATGTCCAACAAAAGCTAGAATACTGTTTCAGTTCAAAGACATATTTATTTACACATAAAACAGATTTGGAAGATAAATAAATAAAATATGAAGCTGAGTTTGAGTTACACAGCCAGCTGTGCAAAATCAATAAATAAAATAAATATTCAGATTCCACTTAAATGAAGAGTTAAGTTAATGTTAAACATGTGTACAGTAAACATCATAAATACATACATTTATTACTGTAGTATAAAGTGCTAGAAATAGGTTTACTCATCCAGTGCTATGCATAAGAACTTCAGGGCAAAACTTGCAGAACCAATCAGATCACTACATCAAACAGACTAATGACATCATCATTGCCTGATCCTGATTGTGATAACTTTACTCATGTTCCTGATTTTGGTGTCCGTAACTGCAGCACTAATTGCTCAGTAGATGTGAAACAATAGTGAGACACACAGCCATTAATAGTCCTGATCTGCAGCTCATTTCACTTGAGTTTGCTGGGTTTACATGAGCTACAGTGGATGTGGTACTAGCAGCAGTGGAACGTGTGGTTGTTGAGGTAGCAGCAGTGCTGGCTGTTGTTTTGGCTGTGCTCACAGTGGTTGTAGACATTCCGGTAGATGCAGCAGAAGTTGCTGAAGTGGCTACTGTAGTTGTAGTTGAAGAGGTGGGTGTCGTGGTGGACACAGCTGGAGAAGATGCAGTGGTCAGTGTAGCACTGTTTTGAGCTGAAGTCATACTTGGAGTTGGCTGTGTTGGTGAGGTTGATCCTGCAGCAGCAGCAGTTGTAGAAGAAGATACAGTAGTTACAGTATCAGAGACGACTACCACACTCACTGTGTTGGTCTGTCCATTGGTTGAAGGCTCAGCTGACGATGCAGACACATATGAAGCTACAGTGGAAGCAGCTGAGGATGTTGATTGTCCTGGTGGTGATGATGCTGTCACAGCAGCAGGGCTGGTAGAAGCAGAAGTTGTTGCACTGGCACTGTTAGAAGATGCAGCTACAGAACTGGTGACAGTTGCAGTTGTGGCAGAATTCACAGTTGTACCTCCGGTGGTTGCCGGCTGAGCAGTAGCTGTTGTTGTGTCAGCAGAAGTGCTGGTAGATACCCCAGCTGTTGTTGGTGAAGCAGGGATTGCCGTTGAGTCAGAGGTTGCAGCGGCAGATGTGGCAGGATTTGCAGCTGTGCTTGCACTGGCTGTAGATTCTGTTTGAGCAGCTGCTGAAGTTTGAACAGAGGTTGCTGCATTGGCAGAGCTGGTGGAGGTAGAAGCAGCTGTTGTTGTGTCAGAGGCAGCAGGAGAATTTGCTGTTGTACCTGCACTGGCTGTAGATCCTGATGTTGAAGTTTGAACTGAGGTTGCTACATTGGTAGAGCTGGTGGAGGCAGCTGTTGTTGAGTCAGCAGAAGTGCTGGTAGACACCCCAGCTGTTGATGTAGAAGTAGCGACTGTTGTAGAGTCAGAGGCAGAAGCAGAATTTGCTGTTGCACCAGCACTGGCTGTAGATGCTGATGTTGAAGTTTGAACAGATGTTGCTACATTGGCAGCAGAAGTGGGGGTTGCAGCAGTTGTAGATGCAGCTGTTGTTGTTTCAGCAGAAGTGCTGGTAGATGCCCCAGATGTGGTAGGATTTGCAGCTGTGCTTGCACTGGCTGTAGATTCTGTTTGAGCAGCTGCTGAAGTTTGAACAGAGGTTGCTGCATTGGCAGAGATGGTGGAGGTAGAAGCAGCTGTTGTAGAGTCAGAGGCAACAGCAGAATTTGCTGTTATACCTGCACTGGCTGTAGATGCTGATGTTGAAGTTTGAACTGAGGTTGCTACATTGGCAGCAGAGGTGGGGGTTGCAGCAGTTGTAGAAGCAGCTGTTGTTGTGTCAGCAGAAGTGCTGGTAGACGCCTCCACTGTTGATGTTGGAGCAGTGACTGTGGTAGAGTCAGAGGCAGCAGCAGTCGATGTAGCAGCTGTACTCTCACTGGCTGTGGAAGCTGTTTGAGCAGCTGTTGTCTGAGCTGAGGTTGTTACAGTGGCAGTGCTGCCAGAAGTAGCAACAACAGTAGAAGCTGCTGTAGTTTGCGTTGTTACAGTCGAGGAAGTGAGGTCATTTGTGGCTGTTGTTGAAGGTTGAACTGTTTCAGTGTTTGCTGCAGGTCCAGTTGTAGCAGGATCTGCTGTGGAAGTAAGTACAGCAGCTGTAGGAGGTGAAGTTGTGTTCTCTGCTGTTGTATCAGTCAGTGTGGATGGACTCGCTGTAGTACTGTCAGCAGTTGTAGGTGTTTCAGTACTTTGTGAAGCTGCTGTTGTCACAGATGTGGCTTCAGTCGATGTCAGCAAAGTGTTACTTGTAGTCTGGGCAGCAGTGCTTGTGATTTGGGCTCCTGGAGCAGAAAGGGAAGATTTTCATTATATGACAGTTATTTAGTTATATTTTTGTGTATATAAAATGTCAGATATATGTTTATAACAGCTTAAATTCTGCATTTCTTACTTACCAATTAGGAGAAAAAGTAGCAACATCATTTTCATAACTGCTTCTCTTAGAAATCTATAAAAGAAAAGGAAAAAATGCCTTTCAGTAATCTTTTGCCTCAAGGAAAAAATTATATAATAACAAATTAGCGCTGTCACTAGGTCGTTTTAAGGTAGTTTTAAGCCTTCATTCTAATATTCATCAGTTTATTTATTAATGGAAGCTACTTTAACATTATTTTTTCAGTCTTAATGCTTGGTTATCCTCTGTTTTTTAGCACATTAAATTGTTGTTTTATATTTATTAGATTTAGCATTCAGCATTTTGTCCCACTTTATTTAAAAAATTAATAAATATTGTCTATTTGTTAGTTATGTAAATTATTTTCAGTTAATGTCAGAAGTTTTACTCACCGAGAAGGTCAATACGAAACTCCAATCAAATGTGATGAGCCTCTGTGACTGTCGTCTGTGATTGTTGGTCTTCAGACAGAAGGTCAGTGTGTGGAGCTCCTGCTGCAGTCAGAGTGGCTGATGTTCCACCTCCTGCTAGATTTTCACTGTCAGGTTCTGAAATGACCTTCTTATATACATGAGAGCTCTGATTAGAACTCACCTGTTTCTCTTCTCATGGCTCATCACTGCGCTACAAGTGTTGCGCAACTGCTGTGAGACTCTCACTTACGCACAATCTCTCGGGTTCTGGGAGTGACCAGCTCAGAACAAAAGAGCTGTTCCATCACTCACACCAAGAACATCATAACAGCTATTTTTGTTGTCTTGTGTGTCATAAACTTCGTCAGTTTTGTAAACACAGCTCATTTCATATGTTTATTTCCCAACAAAGTGCATGTCTGTCTCATTGTATCACTGTGTACCTCATAACTTCAAACACTTTTTGCGTTGCTCAGTCGAGTTCCTTTTGGACAAAAATAGAAGATCTGACAAAACACCATGACATAATTGCCAGGGTTCCCCTTTGTGTTAAGAATCTTTTTTAGATTTTATTTTCCTTTTTTTCATTAGCAAACTGGAATAGAATATATAATAGGTCCATATTTGGTGCTTATTCAACCAATATATCCTCCTGGTTAAGTAAATAACATGTTTGAGATAATTATGAAAGTGTTGTCATTTATAAAGTTATTTAACACCCCCCCTTTCCAAGCCTCTCCTCGAGGACGCCCAGTATTAATTGTAGTTACTATCCAGTACCTGCATGATCTAATCCCCATGTGTCAAACACAAGGCCCACAGGCCAAGTCAGGCCCGTGGCTCAACCCCATTGGCCCCCGAAATTATATTAATTTCCTTTTCATATTAGCTTGTCTCACCGTGAGCTGCACTACAGTCCCCAGCATGCATTGCAACATAATGTGTGCTCTGACCCTTTTTCTCTAACAACAATCTGTAGGTCAGCGGTTACACAAAAAGAACAGATGTCTAGGGTGTAGTTTAAAGAAATAGGCAGTTCTAGGGGCATTTAAAGAGGTTTAACATTGGTCATTGTTGCATACTGTTTTACATTAAAAAATGTAACATTATTTTTGAATAGTTTAAGCTTTCAACGCCTATTTTTACCAGTTTTGGCATGTTTTGAATAAACAATGGCCAGTTGGGATCATAGCAAAGTGTTAAGTAAAAATGAAATAAAAACAGCTGGCTCAGTGATTTGTTGAAATTTTTTAATATGGCCCTTTTACTTCTTAAGTTAGACACCCCTGATCTAGAACCAAACTACACACACACACACACACACATATATATATATATATATATATATATATATTTTATTATTTTTTAATATATATATATATAAAAATATATATACACACCCAACAGTTAGTTCCGGCCACACAAGCTGATTGGTTGAGAAGCGCTCTAAGTTTTTCACAAACACTGTATCTGTGGTGATGACAGTTTGGGAATTTAGTGTAAGGAGCTGGAGAACTTCTGGCTGTGCAGCAACTTAAAGCTCTTTACACTACATTATGTGAAGGAGTAATTGGTAAAGTTGCTGTGGTTTTTCAAGAAAGACATAGAAGTTTATTCACAGTACGTTCTCTGTAAAAATGCCTCCTCAGATCTACCTAAAAAATCCTTCATGCTGTAACAAGCAATTGAACTAGTTTTATTCAACTTAAAAAACTATGTTGATTGAAAGAATCGTTCATTCCGAGTATTTATTTAGGTGGAACAGAACTAGTTAATTTACTTGTTACCACATGAAGTAACTTCTTTAAACAGATCTGATGAACCTCTTTTTACAGTGTTTGTGATTTTTGACTGTTTCCCTTTCAGTCAATTTTGTTTTTCTTTTCAGAAGGTTCAGAAGTTACTTAGTAATTATTATTTGCTAAATTGGTATTTTCCATCAGAAATGCTGGAAATATGTACAGAGCAATATGTACAGAATGCTGCTTTGTTTTGCCAACCTTGTTGTGAAGCTCACAGGTGCCCCGCCCGACACCTGGAAATGAACCGTTAATGCAGAGCCTAATGCACCCATTTAGCCTAGCTATTTAGATCCAGCTGATCAGGAATTTCAGCATTTGGGAAGAGAGCGTGATTGATTAGGGTGGAAACTAATCCAGTAGCAATCATGTGAAATGGTGCATAATCTGTGGTGAAAAAACAGAAATAAAAATTGTTAAATAATCATTTTAGTGACTTTATTGGTGTAGAGGATATGTTCACTTCTCACAATTAACAAAACAAGACTTCTGACCTCTAATCTAGTGCCAAAACTTGGCACACTACTGTATATCTGTCTATAAATATACACAACAGGGTTTAAATGAAAATAAGTGAACAAATAAAGATTTGTGATGTCTTCATGGTTTTTTTGGTGTTTTAAAATGTACAAATCGGTGTATAATTAAAATATAAATAAACAGATACAAACTGATTTTCTGAACATCCCGTAACATCTCAATCATTTTTTACTGGCTTTTAAAAATATAAATATCATTCTTTAGATTTGTATCATTGCACAAAAATTAACATGTGAACAAATGAGGATAAATAACTAAAAACTGTTTTTCAGAAAGTTCTAATGAGTAAGACTGGTGATTAAAATGTTCATCAGTAATTGTATATTCTTGTATGAATATACATCTTACATACACAAATAATATAAAAACATGTACATGGAAAAAGGAGAATAAAAAATACTTTATGTACACAAAAGGTAAACTAGCAGGTGCGCATATACATTTAATTCATTACGATGTGACCAACAATGTGTCAGGAACAAAAAATAAATTAGTTTGAACTCATATTGAGAAACAAGTGCACACACTGATTAATAATAGCTTAGCATTCGTGAGATCATGATGAGACCCATAGCATACAGAGCTGTCTTGCAGCTGATTGTGCTTGCAGACGAAGCAGCAGAAGTGCTTTTAGTTGTTGCTTTAGATGTAGTCGTGGTAGCAGCAGCAGTTGTAGTTGAGTTGATCGCTGTAGTTGAAGAACCGGCAGTGGTTGTAGCCCCAGAAGAGGTTGTAGATCCACCTGTGGTTGAAGAACCAGCAGTGGTTGTAGGCCCAGAAGAGGTTGTAGAAGCTGTGGTTGTGGCTCCTGCTGTGGTTGTGGCTCCTGCTGTGGTGGTGGCACCTGCTGTGGTGGTGGCTCCAGCTGTGGTTGTGGCTCCAGCTGTGGTGGTGGCACCTGCTGTGGTGGTGGCTACTGCTGTGGTGGTAGAACCAGCTGTAGTTGTAGAACTAGCATCAGTGGTGGACGCAGCAGTGGTTGTGCTGGTGGAAGTTGTGGCTGAAGCGCCAGTGGTTGTGGATGTAGTGCTGCCAGTGTCTGCAGTTGTTGATGTTGTGTTTTGGGCACCAGCAAAGTTGGCCAATGCTGCAATTGGTGTAGACAGAGTGTGAAATGTTGCTGCCAGTATTTTCACTACATGCTTTTCTCTATTCAAATATGTATTAGGGAAGAAAAACTCACCAATCAGGAAGAAAAGAAGAGTCAGCATTTTGCCAGGCATCTTTCGACGTTCTTCTTTTCGTCTCTTTATATAACCTAAGATTGTAGATTACATAATTATTTATATTGTTAATTTTACCCTGTCTTGTAAATGTTCTGTATTTATAAAAATTACAATAATCTGTTTGGTGTATATACAGTCGCATACAAGCGTTTGGACAAATTATTTCATTCAATCAGTTTCATTCTAATATTTATCAGTTAATTTATTCATGGAAGTTAGATTTATACTAATACTCCAGTCTTAATACCTGGTTGTGCTCTGTGTTTATATATATATATATATATGCATCACTCACCGAGAAGGTCAATATGAAACTCCAATCAAATGTGATGAGCCTCTGTGACTGTCGTCTGTGATTGTTGGTCTTCAGATAGAAGGTCAGTGTGTGGAGCTCCTGCTGCAGTCAGAGTGGCTGATGTTCCACCTCCTTCTAGATTTTCACTGTCAGGTTCTGAAATGACCTTCTTATATACATGAGAGCTCTGATTAGAACTCACCTGTTTCTCTTCTCATGGCTCATCACTGCGCTACAAGTGTTGCGCAACTGCTGTGAGCCTCTCACTTACGCACAATCTCTCAGGTTCTGGGAGTGACCAGCTCAGAACAAAAGAGCTGTTCCATCACTCACACCAAGAACATCATAACAGCTATTTTTGTTGTCTTGTGTGTCATAAACTTCGTCAGTTTTGTAAACACAGCTCATTTCATATGTTTATTTCTGAACAAAGTGCATGTCTGTCTCATTGTATCACTGTGTACCTCATAACTTCAAACACTTTTTGCGTTGCTCAGTTCCTTTTGGACAAAAATAGAAGATGTGACAAAACACCATGACATAATTGTCAGGGTTCCACTTTGTGTTAAGAATCTTTTTAGATTTTATTTTCCTTTTTTTCATTAGCAAACTGGAATAGAATATATAATAGGTCCATATTTGGTGCTTATTCAACCAATATATCCTCCCAGTTAAGTAAATAACATGTTTGAGATAATTATCAAAGTGTTCTCATTTATAAAGTTAATCCCAATGTGTCAAACACAAGGCCCACAGGCCAAGTCAGGCCCGTGGCTCAACCCCATTTGGCCCCCGAAATTATATTAATTTCCTTTTCATATTAGCTTGTCTCACCGTGAGCTGCACTACAGTCCCCAGCATGCATTGCAACATAATGTGTGCTCTGACCCCCTTTCTCCAACAACAATCTGTAGGTCAGCGGTTACACATTTTATACACACACACACACACACACACACATATATATATTTTATATATATATATATATATATATATATACACCCAACAGTTAGTTCCGGCCACACAAGCTGATTGGTTGAGAAGCGCTCTAAGTTTTTCACAAACGCTGTATCACTAAACTGAGACGCCGTTGCTAAGTAACAACTTTGACTGATTTGGTCAGATTCTGAAGATGAGACTACACATTTGGCCAGTGGTATTCGGTTCATTTCTGGCTAATTCTAGAGTGGTTAGGTTTTCTTCTGTCACAGCTGCCGACTGAAAAGCTTGCTCAGTGGTGATGACAGTTTGGGAATTTAGTGTAAGGAGCTGGAGAACTTCTGGCTGTGCAGCAACTGAGCGGAGTTCGTATATATATATATATTATATATATATATATATATATATATGTAGACATGACTTTAAGCTCTTTACACTACATTATGTGAAGGAGTAATTGGTAAAGTTGCTGTGGTTTTTCAAGAAAGACATAGAAGTTTATTCACAGTACGTTCTCTGTAAAAATGGCTCCTCAGATCTACCTAAAAAATCCTTCATGCTGTAACAAGCAATTGAACTAGTTTTATTCAACTTAAAAAACTATGTTGATTGAAAGAATTGTTCATTCTGAGTATTTATTTAGGTGGAACAAAACTAGTTAATTTACTTGTTACCACATGAAGAAACTTCTTTAAACAGATCTGATGAACCTCTTTTTACAGGGTTTGTGATTTTTGACTGTTTCCCTTTCAATCAATTTTGTTTTTCTTTAGAGGTTCAGAAGTTACTCATTATTTGGTAAATTGGTATTTTTCATCAGAAATGCTGGAAATTATTAATAGACGGCCGAGTATGTATATTAAGCAATATGTACAGAGTGAAGCTCACAGGTGCCCCGCCCGACACCTGGAAATGAACCGTTAATGCAGAGCCTGATGCACCCATTTAGCCTAGCTATTTAGATCCAGCTGATCAGGAATTTCAGCATTTGGGAAGAGAGCGTGATTGATTAGGGTGGAAACTAATCCAGGAGCAATCATGTGAAATGGTGCATAATCTGTCTGTTGTGAAAAAATAGAAATAAAAATAGTAAAATAATCATTTTAGTGACTTTTATTGGTGTAGAGGATATGTTCACTTCTCACAATTAACAAAACAAGTCTTCTGACCTCTAATCTAGTGCCAAAACTTGGCACACTACTGTATATCTGTCTATAAATATACACAACAGGGTTTAAATGAAAATAAGTGAACAAATAAAGATTTTTTGAATATGCTGTGATGTCTTCATGGTTTTTATTGGTGTTTTAAAATGTACAAATCGGTGTTTAATTAAAATAGAAATAAACAGGTACAAACTGATTTTCTGAACATCCCGTAACATCTCAATGATTTTTACTGACTTTTAAAAAATATAAATATCATTCTTTAGATTTGTATCATTGCACAAACATTAACATGTGTGAACAAATGAGGATAAATAACTAAAAATAGTTTTTCAGAAAGTTCTAATGAGTAAGACTGGTGATTAAAATGTTCATCAGTAATTGTATATTCTTGTATGAATATACATCTTACATACACAAATAATATAAAAACATGTACATGGAAAAAGGAGAATAAAAAATACTTTATGTACACAAAAGGTAAACTAGCAGGTGCGCATATACATTTAATTCATTGCGATGTGACCAACAATGTGTCAGGAACAAAAAATAAATTAGTTTGAACTCATATTGAGAAACAAGTGCACACACTGATTAATAATAGCTTAGCATTCGTGAGATCATGATGAGACCCATAGCATACAGAGCTGTCTTGCAGCTGATTGTGCTTGCAGACGAAGCAGCAGAAGTGCTTTTAGTTGTTGCTTTAGATGTAGTCGTGGTAGCAGCAGCAGTTGTAGTTGAGTTCATCGCTGTGGTTGAAGAACCAGCAGTGGTTGTAGCCCCAGAAGAATTGGTAGATCCACCTGTGGTTGAAGAACCAGCAGTGGTTGTAGGCCCAGAAGAGGTTGTAGAAGCTGTGGTTGTGGCTCCAGCTGTGGTGGTGGCTCCTGCTGTGGTGGTGGCTCCAGCTGTGGTGGTGGCTACTGCTGTGGTTGTAGAACCAGCTGTAGTTGTAGAACTAGCATCAGTGGTGGACGCAGCAGTGGTTGTGCTGGTGGAAGTTGTGGCTGAAGCGCCAGTGGTTGTGGATGTAGTGCTGCCAGTGTCTGCAGTTGTTGATGTTGTGTTTTGGGCACCAGCAAAGTTGGCCAATGCTGCAATTGGTGTAGACAGAGTGTGAAATGTTGCTGCCAGTATTTTCACTACATGCTTTTCTCTATTCAAATATGTATTAGGGAAGAAAAACTCACCAATCAGGAAGAAAAGAAGAGTCAGCATTTTGCCAGGCATCTTTCGACGTTCTTCTTTTCGTCTCTTTATATAACCTAAGATTGTAGATTACTTTCATTAATGAAATCTGTTTATTTATATTATTAATTTTACCCTGTCTTGTAAATGTTCTGTATTCATTCAGTCTGATAAACGTTACAGTAATCTGTTTGGTGTATATACAGTTGCATACAAGTGGACAAATTATGTTTCTTTTGTTGATTTACTAAGTGAAAATAAGTTAATACACCCTCTACAGAGAACACTCTTCTGCAAATTTTGATGCACAATTACTGTTTAAAAAATGTGGCCTGTGAAAAAGTAATGGCATACTATATTTCACGTTCTATTTTTTCCAATATTTTAAACGTACGAAAAAAAGAAACAGAAATCGTGAGTAAAATTTGCAGAAAAAGGCCTTATTTAAGTTTGCTCCCTGTAAATGATGTGCTGACTTCACTTCCTTAGAGAAACAAATCAACAAAACCTTTACATACCACTGTATCGGTAGGCTTCACTGAAAAATTCAACAGACCTCTATACCATGTTTATAACTTCTGAAATACAACCATAACTACATTCTTAATAATAAGATGGAGTCGTACTGCTTTCTATCCTCTCTCGTACATGCTACTGTTCAAAACTATGGAAATGGAGCTGCAGATGGTTAGCATGACTGAGAAAGCTGTATAACATCAAGAATTAAGTTATAATAAATTTAACATCCATATTTCAAAAATGGAAATTAAATCAATCATAAGGCAGATAACTTGACAAAAATTAAGAAAATAAAAAAGATATAAACTTAGATTACTTATTTTGTGATATACCTTGTTGTTCACAAAATTCTTTAAAGTTGAATAAAATGTCTAAAAATACCTTTTGGCAAATGGTTTAATATTTATAAAGACACTGTATGAAATAAAAAAATGTTATTGCAATATAATGGTGATATTTAATACATGCTCCTAAGCGAAGTATTTATTTATTTTTACTGCATTTGTTTTTTGTTTTTTTTTACTTAATTGAGCTACTGGACAAAAATGTACTTTAGAAACGTAAAAGTACATTTAAACCTATGACTAAATTAACGGCAGAAAAGTGGACGTAATCATACATGCTTTCTTTAAAATTCCACTTTTCATCTTCCAAACATTAATAGATATTTCTTAAATTTTACTCACCAAAGATGTTGACACTGAAGATTTATGAAGGCCTGTAGAAACTTCCACAGTGACCAGCTTGTGACCAGGCCTTGTGAGCAGCTCTTGCACCTGCAGAATACGACTAAATACTAGCAGCCTTTTATACACAATTGTCAGACAGCATGTGACGTTCAGATGACAAACTGAGAGGAGAAGCACCTGTCAGTAATAATAGCCTACAGATGAAGATGCTTCTCCATGATGTGGAACCACTCCCTTCTTCTAAATAGTAATGTAATGATGCACTCTTAGGGTATCAGTCAGATTTACAACAATAGTGTGTAATGGTCCATGAAGATCTATGACATGTTGTGTTATTCAATACTATCGTTTACATTTTGAAATTCAATCTTTCATTTATAAAGGCGAAACCCGCTGAGAGCAGAGCATGCGCTCTATTGATGCTCAGCTCATACAATATAAAAAGGTAGGCAAACAATATAATAGACATATTTACACATATATAGTTGACCGTATGATTAGTAAATGGACATATTTGAAGCTGATTATTTGAAAGACTCTACACTCTTATTGGACCGGCATAGGTCAAAACTGGGACACGAAATGGGCAGAACCAGTAACTCTGGTTTCTTTAAGGGTGAAACATCACATCGAAATGGGGTGGACAACATGAAGAATGCAAAACATGACATCTTTTTATGGCTATCAGTGGTGGAAATATAATAAATCTAAAATAAACTTGTTGAAACTTGTAGTTAAATTGCTAAGTCGTCTACACATCCAACCTCATTGTTGGAGTTAGCCTGAAACTTCACTAATTTTTTATTGTTTTTAAGGCTAGTAGAAGGCACAGGGTGTGTCTGAGGTCATAGACTTGGTATGGACATTAATAAAGGTGGGGCACCAGCTTGGGCTGGGGAACAGTTTGATGTGGTCACACCCTCTTCTGACTTGTGTGACTTTTGTTCCAAAACAGGACTGATGGGCAAAAAGAATGTGTCCACTGTTGTGTGAGTTAGAGGCATGCAGGTGTCCTCCCAATGCACGTTGTACCTTGTAATTATTCACTTGACTACATTTTTTGCTTCAAATATCCATGACATCAATGATAAACAAGCTCTCTTAATAATTGTGATTTAGATTGCATACATTTATGAAGCAGAGTGGAGAGTTAAGGTTAAATGACCCGAAACAGAAGAGCATGACATTCTCCAGGGATGTTGGCTGGCCTGGGCATATAATTTTTAACCAGTCCGAAACTCATTGTGTAAATTCATATACGTGACTAACATGGAAGTATGGAAAAACAAACAAGCAAACATTTATTTTTATTACGTTTTCCCTCGGTTTTTAAGTCTCAGCGTCAATCACTTTTCCATTGAGAAAGGTAATGTAGTTAGTCAGCCTGAATTCACCTTATTTACCTAGGTTTAAATAGAACATGAATGGGAAAGAGCATGTTCACATACGCTGGCATTGGTTGTGTTATGTAATTTTAGTTTGACTAAAAGGTCCTGGCATGAAAAATAAAAGTCTCTCTCTCTCTCTCTCTCTCTCCGCCCCCCCTTCACAGGTGTACCTGCTTTGCAATCAGTCATGTGAGGAGGACCTCTGACCAATCAGAGGTCTGGCTGGTATAACTGGGGGAGAAGCTTAAGCCTTAAAAGGAAGCCTGGGAAGAGGAGACAGGTCACATGTGCTTGTGTTTGTAATCTCTTATGTTGGATATGTGTCTCCCCGATTTTCTCCCCAATTTAGTCGTCTCCAATTCCACCCGCTAGTTAGGACTCCCCCAGTCACACGATGCTATCAACGCTAGGAGGGTGAAGGCTAGCACTGGCTTCCTCCGAGACCTGTGAAGCCAACCACCGCTTCTTTTCGAGCTGCCGCTCACGCAACGCCACTGGACAGCCGAACGCGCTCGGAGGAAAGCGCCAACCGCCAGATCTGTTACGTCAGCTAACAGACGCCTGCGCGGACTAGCATCGCGCTGAGTGATGGGGGAGAAGGAGCGGCCATCCTACCCACCTTGGACTCTCGGCTACGGATGGCTGTAGCATCACCGGGGATCGAACTCGCGATCTCCTGATGATAGGGCCAACGCTTTGACGGTTGCGCCACTCGGGAGCATGTCTAGACATGTCTAGTTCTCTAGGTCAGAGGGCGGGCACTACCACAAGTACTTTTGATGATTGGCCAGGGAAGTTTAGAATAGTTAGCTTTTGTTTTTCTTTATATTTTAGCTAATCACTTTTTTTCAGCATAGACAAGAATGGTTAGGTTTCTTTTGTTCTTTTCTTTGCGCCGTCCACAGTTTGATTCTTCCAGTGTGGTTCTTGGAATCGTGGTCCACCATTTTGTTGTAGGTTTTAATTAAATGGCTTTTAAAGTTCTATTTGTTGGTTCTTCAAGCTTTTAACCAGTCATCACCAGTTCAGTCTTTAAATGCCACCTGTTACTGATGCCACAGTGAAAGAATCTGGGGTCCTAACACAGGTGTCTACTGCAAATAACAATACCATTGTGGCACCACATTTGAAAAGTGCAGGCTAGAAAACTAACTGGATGTCAGCACAAGCTTTAGTTACCTTTTTATTGCCAGTTGTTCTTGGAAAATATTAACTTATTCTACTTAGCTGCTCACCCATATTGAAAAAAATATATTTCTGTATATGTGGAATACATTTCACATACATTGCAATCCATGCTGAAATACATTCCAAACACTAAAATGTATTTCAGAATGTTGCCGTATGAATCAAATATTTTATATAATATAAAATGTATTTTTACAATGTATGATGAAATATTCCACCAGAAATAAACCATACAAAAATGAATGTATTTATAAATTACATTTGAAAATGTATGTAGGACAAAATACTGTCTAATGCACTTTATTGACTTCTAAAATTAATCTGTGTTAGTATCTCTTTTATTCATTTTTAAATATTAGCCAATGAACCTTTAAAATATCAAAAGCAAGTGTTGTAGGTATTGATTTGATAACTTGTTTATTTGAAATACATTTTGTGTGAGTGTGTCTTACCACATACATACACGGTTAATGCAAAGTACAAGTCAGTACCATTGTTATATTGGTAGCATTTGTTTAAACTACAACTCTATTTCCAAAAAAGTTGGGACGCTGTGTAGAATGTAAACGAAAATAGCTGTAGTTTTGAAAGTGAAATTTTTTTCTCGTTCTTATTTGATACTGGATTTCAGCTGCTCAACAGTTCGTGTTCTTTGTCATTTTTTCATTTCTTTGAATCCTTTAATGATATGTACTGTAGACAATGAAAAATAAAAGTTCTTTGCTATTTTATGTTGATATTATTCCTGCTCACGCAGTCTTTCAAAAGAGACTCTTCCTCATCTTTACTTCTGAAAGACTCAGCCTCTCGGATACTTTTTAGTACCCAGTCATGTTGCTGACCTGTTGCCAATCAACCACCAGGTGTTTTTATTTATTTATTTATTAATTTTTTAGGCATTACACAACTTTACCAGTCTTTTTTTAACCCCTGTCCCAACTTTTTTGACCATGCTGTTGGCATCAAATTCAAAATGGGCATATATTTTTCAAAAACAATAAAATTTCTCAGTTCCAACATTTGATTTGTTGTCTTTGTATTACTTTCAATGAAATACAGGGTTTATCTTTAGTTGTTGGCTTGCGTGTAGCTTGTGTTTGTCAGTGTGAAGGATAGGTGCAAAAGTAATTGAGGTAAGTAATGTACAACAAAGATATGTAAATCATTCTATCAAGTTGGTTCAAAATCAGAGTTAAACACAATTTGGACTTTTTAATTGATTTTGACTTTAGACTTCTTTTGCTTTGAATGACCCTATGTCTAAAATAAATGACTGAACATTCCATTTTGTCACTACCAATAAAATAAGAACACTACCGAAACTTTAGGTAGGTAGAGGTGTATGATAAGATCTCAAGAGATTACAAAATAAAGTCAAGGAATTCATTGTGGTAGATTTGCTTTTCTGACTACTAAGTACCTAACTAGCTAGCTATCACTGCTTTCTACCATCTATAATTTATTCTCATTCCTAATATAGTGTAATAGCAGGGCGTGACCTGGAGGAGGCGCTGCTGCTGTTCTTATGTACAAAGAGTGGAAACCGTGGCTCTGCCAATCATATCAGACCTCCGAAGTTGTAAGCCAATCACATCAGACCTTACAAGTTGTAAGTCAATCATATCAGACCTGGGGGAGGGACTCTGGCTTTGCACTGCAAACCGGCAACCGCTGAAGCTGAAGACAGGATTTTGGCTGTAAACTCACTAAAATAAACGTTAGACTTTATTCGCAGCTTCTAATGTAAAGAGGGAAACAGTGAGTAGTTACGGAGTGAAGATTTTCGGTAAAATATGGTCAGTGTAGCTGGCTACCGGGTTTTCACATGGCTGCTTGTTAGCTAGCTAATGTTTGGGTAAATGTGAGGTAAAGAAAAGCAGTTAGGCTAACGCTAACATTAACTAACAAGCTTACAAGCCAGCTGAAGCTGGAGACAGGATTTTGGCTGTAAGCTCACTAAAATAAACTTTAGACTTTATTCAGAAGCTGTAATATAAAGAGTGAAACAGTGAGTAGTTAAAGTAAAGATTTTTGGTCAAATATGGTCAGTGTGGCTGGCTACCAGGTTTTCACTTGGTTGCTGGTTAGCTAGCTAACGTTAGTGTTCGTGTGAGGTAAAAAAAAGCGGTTAGGCTAACGCTAACATTAGCTAGCTAGCTTACAAGCCAGTTTTTTAAGAATTTGATTCAACTTATATTTACAGTGAGATTGTGAACAGAAGACAGAGACAGAAACAGTTATGAACAGCTCTTTATATTCTTTATTACATTTTTGTTCAGTATTTGGAAACAATGACACCAGTATTTGCTATATATGAGTGTTTACAGTCAGTTAATGTCTGAAAAAGGTCATATACTGTTGACCATAACACAGTTTTATATCCCTCATTTCCTAGATGGAGATTAAGAGGTAGCGGCTCTGTCGAAAGCCAATCAGATGAGAAGATCTTTACCTGGTGAACAAAAAATGTGACTTATTGGTCTCATCATTTTCCTGAGTTTGAT